GCCACCCGGTTTAACCCTTTCCAGGACAAATCTGTTTGTTTTCCTAGCAGTCCATGGTATTCTCAATACTCTTCTCCAGCACCACAGCTCAAAGTTCACAAATACAAAAGTTAGAAAATTTAATTACAGAGAAGTAAAAAAAATTCACCCTTATAAAAAAGGATATACTTTCTCATTCACAGATAAGATCTGATTTGTCTTTGAATAAAAACGGGGAAAAAAGAGAACTGCCAAATACTGAATTTTAAAAAAGTCAGGATCTTAACATCTGTTAATTATTATTAAAAAAATTCAATGAGTTATGTTTTGTTATTGTTTTTCTTATTTTAAAATTAAGAAATTATGATTCAAGAGAAGTTTAGTAACTTGTACCAAGACCTACCCAATGCTTGTTAGTTTTAAAATCAACGTTCTTACCCTTGGCATTGAGATTGCACTATGAGAATCTTTTAGTAGGTGAATGGTACAAGCTCTTCATCTTATAAGACCCTTGAAATTTTAGATGTGACCCTTACCGTGGCATGTCTTAACAAATAATACATTTTATTGTATTACAAATGTACAAATTTCACCATCAGATTAAGAATGGTGTATTATTTCTCTGAAATATTAAGACTAATCCTTATTTTCATGAAAAAAAAATCCTCCAGGCTTTGTTAGACAGAACAGAATGAACCAAGCATGGAAGGTGTGAAAAGAGTTCAAATAAGCAAACCTGCAGTGTAGGTTTCAATTTGCTTTAATTCTAAAGTAGGTGGCCAAATATAGGGTAGAAATTCTCACTTTGAATGGATTCTGACTCATAGCTACCGTATAGGACAAAGTAGAATTGTTCCTTAAATTACTAAGGCTATAAATCCTAAAACAAAATAAAACACCCCAAAACCAACCCAAAACAAAGTAAATTCCATCTTTCTCCTGTGGAGGGACTGGCCAACTCAAACTGCTTTGTTTTTGGTTAACAGCACAAGAAGGGCTACTGAGCAGCACTGTGTCTTTGGTTTGGACTGGAGTCCACTGATTCTCTTTGCTTGAAGTTACAAGATTGCTAATGTTTTAATAATAGCTTCTTCTTAAAGACAATGGATAGCTTTTATTTTTCTGCTGTATTTCCAGTTCTGATCCTGATTCTCATTTCTATTTTAAATATTAAAATCTTCATAGGTAAAGCAACTAAGAAGAACTTTCCTCCAGGACCCAGGACATTGCCCATTATTGGAAATCTACACATCCTCAATCTGAAGAGACCATATCAAACCCTGCTGGAGGTAAATAAAAAACAAAAAAGTTTATATCATACAAATCTATATTTTTCCAAATCATTCTTCCCCTCATTGGGCTTATTAGCATGTATATATATTTTTAAGTCATAGTGAGATTACTAAATAAAATGAAAAATTAATAGAGCTGCTTTATTATTAAAATTTTAATTGTTGCATCCACTTTCTAAACAACATATCTCTGGAAACTCTATGAACTTTGATAAATGTAGATGGTTGTAGAGGGGCTTCAGGTCTTTTGTTCACAGGGTCACTATGAGTTGTGCTCGACTCGAAGGCAATCAACAACAACAACAAATGTGTTTTAATTACTTATTTCTGCTATGAAATAGTTTTGACTGGTAAGTTTTATCTCAACCATTTGGGGTCTACATTGTTTTCCCATATCATAGTTTATCACAAGGAATGGAATTGAAGTGTGGCAGTTTCACTATAGAAATTTTTAGTTAACTACTTATAATATGTTTATGAAGGGTACAATGAAAAGCATGCCTCCAGATATTGATATAAAAAATAAAAATCTATCTGATTTTAATGAAACTTGTATATGTATAGAATAATTTAGCCTCTGGAGTGTGGTTTTTTTGTTTGTTTGTTTTCTTATTTACAAAGTTGCAGGATTGAACCAAGTACTAGACCAAGTTACTATGAGTTTTCTACATCAAAGATTTTGTAGTATTGATTATTTTGTTAAATAAATAATTTATATATAGATTAATACCTATAGCATAGAAATTTATTATATTAGACCATAAATTTATATTTTTGCATTCTGTAAAGAATACACTTCAGAGAGATATATTGAAGAGAAGGATGTTGCTGGGTGCCGGTGACTCTTCACTATATGATCCTTTACAAATGAACAATAGTTCATTTTAGATAGCAACAAATAATAATAGAATTTTAAATAATATTATCATTAGTATTTCAAAAAGGAATGGGAGATAATTTAGAAAGTTATGTATTATATTTATTTTCTTTATTTGTGAATTAAGAAACCAAGATTAAAACAAAGTGAAATACCTCTTTTAGGGATAATAATTTAAACTCCATTTTCTAGGCAAGTGTTGGTCAAAGTGATAATGTGACTTATTGCAGGAGAGAAAGGCCCTCTATGAGGTGGATTGATTCAGTGGCTGGAATAATCAGGATGAGTGTGTTGGAGACAGTAAAATTGGCACAGGACAGAGCAGAGTTTAGGACTGTTGTACATAGGGTCGCTATGAGTTACAAGTGACTCGACGGCACATAACAACAACTAGAAAACTAGAATTTGGATTCTCTGCTCTTCTGATATTTTGTATGCCATTCTGACTCAGCAACCCCAATCAAGTTCCTAGGATGCAAATCTTTACGGGTAATCTTTACTGGTGGAGAATGCCCATCTTTCTGCCTGGTGGTGGGTTGGAACAGTCAACCTTTTGGTTAGCAGAAGTACTGGTGTAACACACTATGTCATGGCAGGTCACCATGAGCTAGAACTCAATACCAAAAGATTTGGCTTATAGATTTTATTTTATTCTTAGTTACATTATATTGTCAAATCATTGACTCTTTTTATAATTCTTATTCTAATGATGTTTTCTAAGGTCAATTTTTTTTAACATTCAGGAAAATAGTTTCAACTTTATTCAGTTGTTGTTATTGCTGTTAGAAGGTCAAATTTCTTGAAGAAACAAGCATTAGAAGCCTTCAACTCATTCTCAGTCAGAATCTCAGTCAGGTTAAGATATGCTCTGCCGCCAACCAGTATAAATGTGAACCCCTGGCTAATCATCAATTTTCTTCTTAATACTGTTAAGGATTTTGTGTTAAAAATATTTGTCACACCCATTTGTAATAGACATGGAAGCATACAGAGTGTTGGGAATAAAATCAATAGGCAATAAATGCTGGCTTTGTTGCATTTTAACTTGCAAAGAAAAAATTATTATTAAGTAAGAAGTGTCACCAAATAACCCACAACTAATTTGAACCTGCTCTGGTAATAACACTCACAGATACTTGGCATGTGTGTGGTAATCAAATGTGGTCAGATAATCAAAGTGGTGGTGAAGAAGGGTTCTGTCTCCTTAGTGTCCTAGCTGAAGAATTTCTAAGACTAAACAAAATGGTGACATGGAGAAGTTTTGAACTGATTCCAAAATGTCAGAGACATTTGCTATAAAATACCAAATAAAATGAAGTGTACAGACAATCTCTTGATGATTATAATAATTATACCTTAAATAGGTGTCACAATGATATGGATTTCTTTAGTGAACTCCTCATCCAATAATCTCATTCCATATGGTCAAGATGCTGGCATGTTCATTGGCATTAAAAAAAAATTTTTCATTCACTTTTTACTACAATATAATGTTTCATTGCTTCTCTTTTTTTATTATTCTTTTAAGCTCTCCCAGAAATATGGCTCCATTTACAGCATTCAAATGGGTCCAAGGAAAGTAGTGGTGCTTTCAGGTTATGATACTGTGAAAGATGCCCTGGTTACTTGTGGTGATCAATTTAGAGAACGACCTCAAGTACCTATATTTGAGAGACTTTTTGAAGGAAAAGGTAATGCACTCTAATATATATATATAAACTTTATATATATACTTTAAATATATCATAATGATTAAAATTATTAAATAAATTGCACTGCATTATTTTATGTAATCAATGCTATAGTTTAATTTTCCTCTATACAATTACTTTTCAAAGTCAATGATTATCTCAATGAAACAAAGGACTACTTTGTTTTAAGGGTATGTATATATGTTTAAGGATATGTATAATTTGTAGTCTTTATTATTATGATATATAATGATTATTTCTTTTCAAAAAATGATATTTTAATATAAAAAAGTAATTTTTTGTGATCAAGTAGGATTCAAAACAGGTATGCAAGGATAGTTCAACATGACAAAAGCAATTAATGTTATTTATTACATTAACAAATCAACAAACAAGAAACACATGATGCTATCAACTGATGCAGACAAAGCCTTTGACAAAACCCAACAACGTTTTCTGATTAAAACTCTCAATATAGTGAAAAATATATACGCAAAACCAAGAGCCAACATCATTCTCATTGGAGAGAAATTGAAGACATTCTCCCTGAGAATAAAAACCTAGACAATGACGCCAATTATTACCATTCCTATTCAAAATTTATATTGGAAGTCTTCGTGAGAGCAATAAGGCAAGAGATGGAAATAAGAAGCATCCAAACTGACAAAGAGAAGGTAAAACTATACCTATATGCAGATGATATAGTATACTTCGAAAACCCTAAAGACAAGAAAATGGTTGGACATAATCTACCATGACAGCAAAGTAGCAGAATACAAGATCAACATACAAAACTCAGTTTGATTTCTCCACAGTAACAAAGAAAACATAGTAAAGGAGCTAAGAAAAAGAATACCAATTACACAGGATAATCACAAGATGAAATATTTAGGAACAAATCTTACTGGATACAAAACAACACTATACAGAGAAAATAACGAAATACTATTACTAGAAACAAAGAGACCTAGAAAAATGGAGGAATATACCATACTCGTGGATAGAAAGACTCAATATCATAAAAATGAGAATTCGACCAAATCATTTTGCAAATTCAACGCAATCCCAACACAGATACTAATTCCATTCTTCAACGAGATTGGAAATTTCTATTATTTTTTTTTCTGGAATGGAAAGAGACCCTGAATAAGCAAAGTACTACTGAAAAGAGAAACAAGGTAGGAGACATCATACTCCTTGATCTCAAATCCTACCACACTGTCTTGGTGGTCAAGACAGCATGGGACTGGTACAAAAACAGACACATAGACAATAGAATGGAATGAAATTAAGAACCCAGAAATCAACTCATTTACTCATTATCAACTGATTTTTTTAAGGAGACAAAATCAATGAATGAAAACTCATCCTTTCTGTAAATTTCCACTAAAAATCACATTTTTTTAAAAAAAAGATATTTTACTGGTTCAAATTTCAAAACCATCTCAGGAACAGGTTTGAGGCCTTGAACACCAATGAGTGCAGACCAAATGAGCTCTGGGAAAATATCAAGAAAATCATCCATGAAGAATGCAAAAGGCAATTACAAAATCTGGAAAAGAAGAAAAGACCAAGATGGATGTCAGATGAGACTCTGAGTATTGCATTAGAGGGCCAAAAAGCCAAAGCTAAAGGAAGAAACCAAGAAATCAAAGAGCTGAACAGAAAATTTCAAAAGCAGCCTGGGACAACAAAGCAAGATACTATAATGAAAATGTGCAGAAAGCTGGAGTCAGAAAATCAAAAGGGCCGGACTCGCTCAGCGTTTCTTCAGCTGAAGGAGTTGAAAAACAAATTCAAGCCATGGGTAGCAATACTTAAGGATACTTTGGGTAGAATGTTAAATGATCTAGGAAGTATCAAAAGAAGATGGAAGGATTACACAGAGTCACTGTATGAGATGGAATTGGCTGACACAGAAGAATTTCATGAAATAACATATGAACAAGAGCCCATGGTGATGAAGGAGAAAGTTCAAATTGCTCTGAAGGAATTGGCAAGAAACAAGGCTCTAGGAGTTGACAGCGTACGAATTGACATATTTCAACAGACACTGGTTTGGAGGCACTCACTAAGTTGTGCCAAGAAAACAGGAGGAGAGACAGCTGGCCGACTGACTAGAAAAGATCTATATTTGTTTCCATTCCAAAGAAAGGTGACCCAACAGAGTGTGGAAATTATCAAACAATATCATTAATATCACATGCAAGCAAGATTCTGCTGAACATTATCCAAAAAACGTTTGGAGCAATATGTGACGGAGTGGTGGGAATGAGTGCTTTTGAGATGGCTAGGTTGGCACAGGATAGAACGGCATTTGGGGCTCTTGTACATAGGGTTGCTATGAGTCACAAGCGACTCAATGGCATATAACACAACAACTAGTTCAAAAGCATGTTAGCTGCCAGAAAGACACAAAGATCAATTAAACATAGGCCATCAGAGAAGATTCAGAGCTACTGTATAGGGTTAGTATGAGTCACAGGTGACTCAAAGGCACCAAACAACAACAATACGGTGTTAACTGTGTCTGGGATGAACATTCTTCTAAGTGGTTCAGCAATGGTCTGTCGGTTTGCTGAAGTGAAGTAACTTGAGGTTTCTGTGATGCTGAAAGCTGTGCCATAGGTGTGTCAAACACCATAATGGTTGCCCATGGTGGACAGTGTTTGGTGGAACTCCTAGACTGATTCCGGTTTGGAAGCAGGCGGGGTAGCATCCACTACCTAAACCGCATGCCTCTGAAAACTCTATGAACATAGAGAAATGATAGTTACAGTACAGGGTTCAGGTCTTTTTTTTATAGGGTCACTATGAGTCGTGCTCAACTTGATGGCACCTAACAACAATAATATAGTCTTGCTTACTCTTTTTCTATTAATAGGAGGCTGTAAGATCTGTTTTCACTCCTGTTCTTCAAGAGTCTTTCTCCCCCCACTTCTTTTCACTTTAATTCTTTTGCGTGGCCTATCTTAACACTAGTTATGCCTCTTATTGCCCTAATAAATTTTTTTCACTTGTTTTGCTAAAAAGAAGAGTTTGTAATCTAAAGGTGGACTTAGATTTATGAAATGCTACATTTTGTGTGACAAATATAAAGAACCATATTTTCACCTGAAAAAAGAAATTGTTCCATATCATCAAATCAGAACCAACCTATAGCCAATCTTCCAGAGGTTTTTTGAGACAGTTAATCCCATGGGAGGAGATTTCCCATCTTTTTCCTTCTGAGCAGCTGAGGGATTTGAACTGTATACCTTTGGATTGTTAGTGCAACTCTTTACCACTAGGCCACCAGAGCAGAGTCTTTGCTAAATACCCATCTGAAATCCAGATATTGTATTTTGACAACATCCCGTTAATGTAACAACTTGTTAAATGTGGCAGTTATATGCTCTTGATACTAATTCATTTTCAGTAAATTAATGATAATTCTTTGTAAATACTGTTAAGCCGTTCTGCTTTTATATCTTTTTCAAATGATATATCACACACAATCCTTAAAAACAAGTTCCACAATTGTTAGCGTACCTTCTATGAGAAAAAAAGAAATAGCAGTGAATGATTTAGAGAAATATTCATGTTGTAAAACTTTGGATTCTTGAGAATTATGATGCACACTCACATACTAAATCCTCTGAGGAAAACATAACAACCTTATTATTTTATTCACTCCATTTTTCTGCACTTTATTGTGTTTAAGACTCAACACCTTCTGCATTCCCCAACCTGGAACTCCCAATAGAAAGTAATAAAATCAGTGACTAATGAGTTGTGCTGGCAACCTAAAAGCAGGCAGTTCAAATCCACCAGTTGCTGTGCTGGAGAAAACTGGTGAATTTCCTCCTATGCTATTTATAGCCTCTGACAACCTACTGGAGTTGTGTTGGTTCTTTACTTGTTGCTTTTGGTGTTATTAGGATATTGAGGGTTTTTTGTCTTTTTTAGTTTTAATTATCTCATTTGTAGTTTCCAGGATTAATTTTCTTCCAATTCTAGAAGAGACCCATTACTGTTTCTTGCTTTAAGCATGTTTGCTACTTTCCATGATAACCCAAATACTACTGCCATATTTAATAGCACAACTTTTTTAAATATCTATCTGCACAAAATTTTAGAAATTCTTCTTCAAATAGGTCATTCATTCTAAAAGTTGAGTATTGACTTTGTTAAAAATTATTAAATTTAGCATATGCAAGCCAAAATTATTACCATCATGCTGATTCAGCTTCACAAAGATCCTGTAAGAAAGATAATAGCAGCTCTAGGTGTCTCCAAGTTCACAGATATTTACAGAAGCAGACTGTTATGTATTTTACCATGAGGTGGCTGGTGAGTTTTAACAGATAGTTTAGTCAGCAGCAGAGATCTTTTAACCATATGAGAGTATTTTTTCAAAGAGGAAATAACTGCATTGTTTTCCCTATAACAATGTAATTCAGAACTATTCAAAGCAATATAAGCATGCTTTAGGTAAAATTTTTTAAAACAGAGAAAATACAATATTTTTGCTACACATTAAACCACATTGGAATATCAGCTACTTAATTTTAATAATAGTAAATTATTTTGATTCGTACTAGAAATATATTTAGTAGTTTTTCTAAACTTGAGACCAATATATAGATGTCCTCAAGAGGCTAACCTAATATTCTTACACAATTATAAGGCTATCACCATTCTATGAAAGAGAAGCTCTTATAAACTAATATTGTCATTAAAAAATATAAAATTTTTAAATTTTAAATAATTTTTAAAACATAAATGTAAAAATCCTTTATATAGTTCACAGAATAATATATTAATGCACCCTTATATATTGAGTATATAACATGTTATATAGTTAGTGTATTGGCAATGAATATTCACTCAATGTATAGAAGTCTATCTATTTAATATAGGGAGCTCTGGTGGCCTAATTTCTGCCCATGCAATTTAGAGCTTTGGAAACCCACTGAAGGGCCAGCAATGAGGAGGTCCCTACTGAATAGCAGTGGGTTTGAGTGAATTTGCATTGAATATACTAGAGCTGAAGTGCAAAGTGTCAGTCTTGAAGCTAAGATATACCTGATCCTGATCCAGGCCAAGGTCTTCCCGATTTCTTGTTTTGCATCAAAAAGCTGGAAAATTAATAAGCATGCCAGAAGAATTAAAGCCTTCCAGTTGTGGTGCTGGAGAAAAATGTTGAACCTACCCTGAATTGCTAAGAGAATAATCAGGTCTATCCTGGAGAGGGTGAAACCAACGTGGTCTCTGGAGGCAAGGATTTTGAAACTCTGTCTCACATACTTTGGGCATGTTGCCAGGCAGAACCAGTTCTTGAAGAAGTATATTACACTGGTAAAAGTGGAAGGACAGTGCAGGAGAGGAAGACCCTGGATGAGATGGATTGACATAGTGACTGGTGCAATAGGGGGATGTGTGTTGGAGACAGTGAGATTGACCCAGAACAGGACAAAGTTCAGAACTATTATGCATAGAGATGCTATGAGTTGCAGGTGACTCAAACAGCACATAACAGCAGCAGCAACAACAACAACAACAAAAAGCCCAACATACTAACAACTAGCATATAGTTGATGTATTATATTCAACTTATGGTGCTCTGACAGCATAGTGTGTTATATGTTGCACTGCTAACTGAAAGGTCATACGTTCAAATTCACCATTTGCTCCACAGTGGGAAGATGGGCAGATTTTCAACTCTGAAATAAAATGAAGGATCACTATGGTTAAGAAGCAACTCAATGACAGTGGAATATTCAACATGTATTAACATATACTGAACTAACACATATTCAATGGAAGCAGATGCTAACTCTTTGTTGTGTGCTTTCATAGGAAGATCTAACCAGGCATGAAGTAGCAATAGAACTCTGGAAACATGTATTTCTTTCTTTTGTGTTTTACATAGAGATTCACAAAACTTTTATCGCTCCATTTCTAAAACCCAGATTGCCTGATCTATTCTACTTTTCTAATTCTGGTAATCAATAAAGTTCATAAATTAACTCCTCTTTCTGTCTCACCTGCCTCCGTAGAAAAATAAGGGAAAACAGTATTGGAGAAAGGCTGGGACAAGGAATTGAAACAACAAAGAAAAAAAAAATCACCCTGATGACAAATTTCATCATAAAAAATGTGGACAACTTTGGCAACCCAATTTTTTTTTACTATTTTTTAAAATTTTTTTTCATTGTTGCACATTTTCATCCCCACCCACCCAATCCCTTCCCTAGAATCTTTTCCTTCTTCTTTTTTTTTTAAGTGTTAGCACATGCCCTAATTTTTCTAGAAAACTTATTTCAACTGATGTACTGGACTAATGTTTTTGTTTCCATTGCACAAATTTATTCACAGAGTACCTCCATGTGCTACAAAACATGTCTCTAGAAATTAGTATTTATTTCACTAATGTGGAAGCCTGAGGACACCTGTCTACAATTAATTCTTTGAAGCTTTTCATTTTAATAGTTGCGTTTTATTGTTGCTGCTGTTCTTGGGTGCCATTGAGTTGGAACCAACCCAGAGCTGACCTTCCAGTGGGTTTTCAGAGGGAGGTAGTCACATGGAGGGAGACTGCCCATCCTTCTCCCGCTGAGCAGCTAGTAGATTGAACTATGTGCCTTTGGAATTTGTAGCACAGATTTTTTACCACTATGCCATGAGAGCTCCAAGATATTGTGTTTTCTGCTGTTAGGGACCTCTCTAAAGTACTCAGGAGCAACAGTGTCTCTCTGGAGACTAAGGTGCGCCTGATACCGGCCATGGTATTTGCAATTATGCATCAGAGAGTTGGACAATGACTAGGGAGGACAGAAGGAGAGTGGATGCTTTTGAGCTGTGGTGCTGGAGAAGAGTACTGAATGTACCCTGGACTGCCAGGAAAACATGCAGATTCGTCTTGGAGAGGATTAAACCCTTGGAGGCAAGGATTCTGGGGCTTCGTCTGACATACTTTGGACATGTTGCCAGGAGGGACGGGTCCTTGGAGAGGGACATCATGCTTGGGAGGGTTGGAGGACAATGCAGGAGGGGAAGACCCTCTATGAGATGGATTGACTTGGTGACTGGGGTAATCAGGATGGGTGTGTCAGAGGTAGTGCGGTTGGCGCAGGATAGAGCAGGGTTTAGGGCTGTTATGCATAGGGTTGCTATGAGTCGCAAACGACTCGACGGCATATAACAACAACAACAACATATTTAGCATGGTGTGAAAATACAGTAATATTCATTAATTACTTAGTGGATTAAATTTTCTAAAGTTAGAGATGATGATTCAAAGTTTTTCCATCCTAAGGAATCACATTCTCCCATGGTGAAACTTGGAAAACCATGAGGAGATTCAGCTTGACCACCCTGAGAAACTTTGGAATGGGCAAGAGGACCATAGAAGACAAAATTATAGAGGAGTGTCAGCATCTCATACAGAACTTCAGGTCGCAGAAAGGTGAGAGGGATGAAGAAAAGTGCTGCTTCTTTTTCACAAGGTAGACTTTAGCAGTGATCTTATAATTCTTCATCTGTCTTCACTTTAGATTTCTGGAAAACTTCCAAAAAGAGACAAATATTCTCAGTACAGAGATTTCCCAAATATAAGCACTTAGCATTTACTTGCTTTCTCTCATATTCTCATTTTCATTCTCTCTTTTTCTTACTACTTTCTCTTCCTCCATCTCTTCCTCCTTTTCTCTATATATGTATACATATATGTATATGTAAATTATTTTTTTTCCTTACATATTTAAAAGTACATTACAGACATCCTTTTATCCTTAAATTTTTCTGTGTGTTTTCTTAAAATAAGCAAGGCTATATTTTACAGACACTACTGTAAATTTTTTAAAAATTAGAAAATTAATCTTAGCATAATATTATCAAATTGACATATATTGGGGCTTTTTTTGTTTTTTTTAGCTGTCACCAACTGTCTTAAAATATCTTATATAAAAAAAAAAAGCTTGGGTCAACATTGTATTCAATAGTCATGTCTCAGTCTTCTGTAACCTAGACTAACTCCAAAGTAATGGATATGTTTTTATTTCTTTAAATAATATTAACAGGTATGCTTAACATTTATTTGTGTGATGGCCAACTGCATACACATTCTTAGTCTTAGAAAGTTCCTCTGAAAACCCATTGGAAAGTCAGCAATGAATCTGTTCCAACTCAGCATCACACAACAACCATGGTGCTTTTGGTTCTGCTTTAGGATTTTTGGTTCATTTTGTTTTTTAGGGATCTCTGGCAGCTTAGTGGTAAAGAGTTTCACTGCCAACCCAAAAGTTGTTGTCATTGTTAGGTACCATGGATTTTAATATTACTCATAATTACCTTATGAACAACAGAGCTGAACTCTGTCCTATCCTGTGTCATTCTTGTCATCTCTGACACACGTTGAAAGCAAAGATGATAATACTCCATGTCACATACTTTGGGCATGTTGCTAGGAGAAGCTATGTCTTAAAAGAAGATATTACGCTTAGAAAATTGAAGGGTTAGGTCAAGAGAGGTATACAGTGTAAATCCACCAACTGCTCCATGGAGAAAGATGGACAATCACACAGGGGTCATCCTATGTGGTTTACTGCCTGTGAAAACCCTGTAAGAGTTGATGTAATGACTCATTCAGACATCCAGCCATACTGCCAGAGTGAATAAACAGCTGGCCTTCAAACTGCCCCTCAATCCTGGAAGCACCACTTGCTTTCCTCTTTCTGGCCTCATTCATCTGCCCAGCAGCCACGAGGCTTGGACAGTGCGAAGCCTGCCTTAGCTGCTCTTATCTAGCTGTGGATGCTGGTTAAGCACTGTAAGAGGTGACAGCAGCCTGTTCACATGATCAGAAAGTGGCCACTTCAATAAGACACTCCTGTGCGGGGGCACCACCACCAGGCAGTGCCCCTGGCCACCTCTCTACATTCTTGTACCTTTTCCTCCTTCTTGCACCCAGATGTTCACCAAGTTTCAATGCAGTAGCCAGTTCAGCCCTGCCTGCCCTGGTCAGCCACACAACCGCAAGGCTGACCACCTCTATCCAGCAAAAGCAGGTCTCAAATTTTGTTCTGCAGGCTCTCACAATGTTTTGACTTTGTGGTAATTGAACTACAGATTATAACTTGTTACTGTTTGCCATTGAGTCAGAGTTGACTCATAGCTGACCCTCTAGTAGGTTTTTAGATACAATTAATCACTTGGGAGATTGCCCATCTCTCTCCTGCGAAGCAGCTGGTAGGTTTGAACTGTGTGCCTTTGGGACTTCAGCACAGCTTACTACCACAGACCACCAGATTATAGGACTAGTATATAATATGGTATTCCATAAAGGGTGGACCACAACAAATAGGCTAACTCTGAGAAGAATGGGAATCCCAGAACACCTGATTGTGCTTATGTGAAACCTATATTTGCACCAGGAGGCAGTCATCAGGACAGAGCAAGGGAACACACTGCATGGTTCAAAATTGGGAAAAGGGTACACCAGGGTTGTGTTATATCTTCATACCTTTTCAATCTATATGCAGAACAAATTATCTGGAAGGCTGGGCTTTATGAGGAGAAATATGGCACCAGGAGTGGAGGAAGATTCAATAACAATCTGCATTATGCAGGTGACACCACCCTCCTTGCTGAAACTGAGGGGGACCTGAAGCGCTTGCTGCAGAAAGTCAAGGGCTGCAGTCTTCAATATGGATTGAAGCTCAACATCAAGAAGAAAATAAAAAGATTCTTACCACTGAGCTGATTGACAGCATTGTGATGGATGGTGAAAAGATTGAGATTGTTCATAGGTTTAGTTTGCTTGACTCCACAATCAACACTCATGGCACCAGCAGCCAGGAAATTGAAGGACTAACTGCATTGGGAAAGTCTGTTGTCAGAGACCTCTCCAGAGTACTGAAGAGCAATGATATCAGTCTGAAGGCTAAAGTATGCCTGGTACAGACCATGGTCTTTGCAATCACTTTCTATGCATCAGAGAGCTGGACAATGACTAGGGATGATAGGAGATTTGATGCCTTTGAGCTGTGGTGTTGGAGAAGAGTATTGACTATACCATGGATTGCTAGGAGAAGAAAGAGGTTCATCCTGGAGAGGTTTAAAGCAGGCTGCTCCTTGGAGGAAGCTTCATCTGACATATTTTGGACATGTTGCAAAAAGAGACCAGTCCTTGGAGAGGGAGTTATGCTTGGGAGGGTGGAGGGACAGCACAGGAGAGGAAGACCCTCAATGAGATGGATTGATTCAATGACTGGGGTAATGGGAGTAGGTGTATCAGAGACAATAAGATTGACACAGGATAGAGCAGGTTTTAGGGATGTTGTAAATAGGGTCACTATGAGTCGTAGGCTACTAGACGGCACATAACAACAACAATAATATTCTATTTTCATAGAATATAGTGTGCGTTAAGCAACTTTTGCTTGTATTTATTTCCGTATTTTTTGTGTCAAAATGCTAGGAAAATGCAAGAATTTTGCTTACTTATGAAACTAATTAACAATAAGATTGTTTGACTATTTTTCCCCACGGGGAGAGATATTAACAGGAAGAAATATATGAGTAGAGAACCTGGAAATGAATGAAGAAGAGAAAGTCCAGGCTTCCATTGCCTTAGGATTCTAATCTCTCTTTTGAAATAAGAACTAACCTTAAGAATAGTGGTAGGACATTGTGTTCTTAAGAAAGTTTTGTCTTTCTGAAGATTGAAATCTACCACTAATAAAGATGAAAAATCATCACCTGCTGTCCAATTTATAGCCTCAAAAACCCACAAGAGAGTTAGTTATGAGTTTATTAAGATGCTATGGCAAACAATTTTTATTTGAGAAATACTCTTAAAAATTAGTATTTCACACTATTCTTCACTCATTTATGCTTCATACAATCATTCATTCTTATCTATTATATTTTATAAAAGCAATCATCATTGGACCTTTCCCTTCATTATGCTGTAAACTTTGTAAGCAAACCAATTTTTAAAAACTGTAAAATAGGAAAATAGTAATTAGTATATAAAACACAATTATTCTTCTTGTTGATTGCCTTTGAGTTGAGCACGACTCATAGCGACCCTATGAACAAAAAGCCTGAAGCCTTTCTATAACTATCCACATTTACCAAAGTTCATAGTCTCTGGGGGCATGTTGTTTAGGAAGTGGATACCACTCCTACTTCCAAATAAAACACAATACATATTGTAGAAAACACAGTGTACATTAACACAATATTAATAACACAATATAATAACACAATGTAAAACAAAGATTATATAAAACACAATGTGCATGCATGAAACACAATGTATGTAGGAATTGTGAGCAAACCAATAAAAATATGGGAAAAAATTTTAAATAATAATTCACCCCTGATAAATGTTTAATAATATAAATAATACTCAATAATACTGACAAAAGCTGGAGTCAGCAGCAATAAAATAAGGCTAATAGATAAAGTTCTTTAAAGTAGAATCAATTCAGTCATCTAGATATGTTTTTTTTAATCTTGAGAAACTATTTTCCAAGATGTTATGCACAAATATTTTCCCTTCTCCACAATACACAAGACACTCACTCTAAAATGCCTATTACCTAGTACATTTTTATTTACCTGCCATGTGCTGGTTTTCATTTTCCTTATGACAGCCTTTTGACCAGCTTGCTGGGTGGAACAACCAGCTTTAGAGTTAAACTACTAATCTAAAAATTGAGCATTAGAATACCAACAATGGTGCAGTGGAAGAAATGCTTTACAATAAGCTGCCTTAGAGATCATAGCCAAGAAAGTCCTAAAGAGCAGTTAAATTCTGTCATTGGTCTGGTCGGTATAAATATACATGAACCCAAGGATAAGAGATTTTTGTTTGTGTTTCTAGATATTTTTCAAAACTGATTCAAGTATCACTATTTTTAGAATGTAGTATTATCCATATTCTCTTCCTCCTACAAAATCCTTTCTTTTACAGTCTCTACCAATCAAAATTAAATAGGCTTAATTAAGTCCATGTGAATATTTCTAACCTGATTAATAAATCATGTTCTAGGAAAGCCTTTTGAGATCAAAACAGTAATGAACGCTTCTGTTGCTAATGTCATCGTGTCAGTGTTGCTTGGGAAACGGTTTGACTACCAAGATACACAGTTTCTGAGACTCTTAAATTTGATTGGTGAAAATGTGAAGCTCATTGGAGGTCCTGGGATTACGGTAACTGTATCTTTCCTATTTAATTTTTGTTTCTCTGAGATTCAAGAATGCTTGTTCAAGAGACTGTTCAGGGGAACATTCTGCATAAATACTGAGAGAGATTTGACAAATGTACTTAGTTAACACATTTAATAAATCTGTCACCATAAGTGTTGTATCAAATATTTTATGAAATGAGTTATTGTCATCATTTCAGTCACCTATCTTTTACCTATATAGTACTATATGTGCTTATTTGCTAACTGAAATGTCAGCTTTTCAATCCACCAACAGTTTCACAAGAGAAAGATGAAGTTTCTTCCCACAAGGATTTATAGCCCCCCAAACCCCACAAAGGACCCCTATGAGTTGGAAACAACTTGACAGGAATCATTTCTCTTTCACCTAAAGCACTTGATGGCTTTGTGAGTTGGGCCGCTAATCAAAAGATGAGAAGTTTAAATCCACCAACTTAATCATTTCTTCCTGAACAAATTTATAACTTCAGAATCCCAGTGGAAGGTGAATATGAGGCAGGAATTGACTCAAAATCAGTGGGCTTGATTTTGGCATCTTTTACCTATACCACCAGGAAAGCAAAGAATAAGCAAACGGATCAATAAAGGATATTAAATAGAAATCACTTAAAAGACTGAATTTTAGTGAAAGAAGACTCTCATGTACCAAAACCATTAAATACTAAATGCCATTTTTGGTTTTGTCGGGTTTTTTTTTTTTTTTGTTATGCAAGTTTAATGCTGCAATTCATTTTGTTTCATAGCTGTGAATGAGAAAGTCATTAACTTCTGACGTGTAGGTAGCAAAAAAGAACCATTTCAAATAGTTCTTATTTGATTAATACCACTGGCAAAAGACTTTATCATTTCACTTAAAAATAAATTAGCTCTTACTGTAAATGCAGTTTTTACCCCAACACTACGCAACCCTCATGCCTAATTTTAGGAGTGACTTTCTCCATCTCAGGCTTAGTAAGTAAATTTGGGTAAATTTGGGGGCCATAAACCCTTTCAGAGTCAGAGTCTTTTGAAAATCTGACAAAATATATAGACTCTTTCTGCAAAAAATAATACTAAGACAAATATATAAAAGTAGTGAAACCTTTCTCTCCTGGATTTTTTTTATTTAGTTTGTTTATTTTTCATTTCAATGAACATCTACAGAGATTTTGGAATTCCATTCATTCATTGTTGCACCCTTCTCCCCGCACAACCCCCTCCACATCCTCCCCCAGTTTGCTCCACTCCTTGAAAAGCA